GTAGGCCAGAAGAAGACACCAGATCTCCTTACAGAGGGTCTTCAGCCACCTTATGGTTGCTGGGAATTGAACTCAGGACCTCTGGAAGAGCAGTCAGTGCTCTTAATTTCTGAGCCAACTCTCCAGCCCCCTGGATTCTAAATATCTTATAATGTATTAAATGTAAAAACCCCAGTTGCACAAAACAAAGGCTTTAGAAAGTTCAGGTGACATCTAAGACAAATGGGAGAAATTTCTCAGCTTTTGTGAAACCATTCTCTGTTGTTTTCAACAATCCATATATTTTTTCCTTCCTTCCTTCCTTCCTTCCTTCCTTTTTTTTTTTGTTAAGTAGTTTATCTAAAAATTGCCTTCATTTAAGATTTACTTTGTTCTGGTACCATACAAATTTCAAAACAATATTTCCCTGTTGAAATGTGGGATTAGGAGTGAGCTGAATCAGTTTTCACGCCATGGAACTCATATACGACTCCAGGATAAACTCTCTTTTATTCCTTTTGAGGTCAGAGCTGTGTGTTTCTGTATCAACAAAAGGAACTCCACTTCCTCACTAGTATGTGTCTTTCTTAACTCTTTGTTCATGACACAAACACCTGAAAATGACATCGTGAGACAACATGAGACCACCTCCACTATTAATCTTGTGACCCACAAGGAAACTCCATCTTGCTCACAAACAACCTTTCTCTGGGATCTAACTCAAAGCACTGCAAACTCAGGAAACTGAAGAAGAAAAATAAAAGAACTATGTTAGGTAGATGGCAAATGTTCTACTGTTGAATTGAGTCAGATTATGATTAGGTTTGCTTTTTAATCTTTGTTAATATTTTATGTCTAAAATGTTTAATTATAGCCAGGTGGTGGTGGCACACGCCTTTAATCCCAGCACTTGGGAGTCAGAGGCAGGCGGATCTCTGTGAGTTCGAGACCAGCCTGGTTTACAAGAGCTAGTTCCAGGAAAGGCTCCAAAACCACAGAGAAACGCTGTCTCGAAAAAACCAAAAAAAAAAAAGTATAATTATGTATTTGCGTCTGTGGGTAAATGAGACGGAAGAGGGCGATGGATTCCCCTAGAGCTGGAGCTACAGGGGTTTGTGAGTTGTGAAATGGGTCCTGGGCACCCAGTATGGTACTCTTAAATAGCAGCAGGTGTCTTAATTGCTGAGACAAGTCTTTAACCCACCCCTGTATTTTGGTATGTTATAATATTTTAAAATTATAATAGTATTATTCAATTTTGCTTTCCTCACTCCAGCCTTTCCATGTACGCTCCCAGCTCAATCTCAAATTCATTGCTTCTTCTTAAATGTTTCACATATATATACGTATAGGCATAAACACACACACAAGTGAGTGTGTGTGTGTGTGTAGATGATATATATATATCATGATATATATATATCATGATATATGATATATATGATATGATGATATATATATTCTGCAGAGTCAATCAAGTATTACTTGCCTGTATATGATTTCAGGTCTGGCCACCTGGAATTCTTTAACCAACTAGGAGGCTCTGGCTATTGTATGACTAATTACCCCCTCTCTCAGCTGTCCTTACTGAACCGCAGGTTTTAGCTGGGGGAGGGGTCTTAGGAGATTTGTCCCTTCCAGGATAGTGCCTGAATTGTGATTGCCCCTGTTCAGAATGGATTCAGGCCGGGCGGTGGTGGCGCACACCTTTAATCGCAGCACTCGGGAGGCAGAGGCAGGCGGATCTCTGTGAGTTCGAGGCCAGCCTGGTCTACAGAGCAAGTTCCAGGACAGGTTCCAAAGCCACAGAGAAACCCTGTCTTGAAAAACAAAAACAAAAACAAAAACAAAAAACAGAATGGATTCAGACACCCATATTGTTGAGGTGCCTGGCTGTAGATTCCTGATCTGTTACGGGAGACACAGTCTGACCTCACAGTCCACTTGCTGGTCTTCTGGCTTTTGAAATATTCCCAACCCCCTCTCTGCTGTGTTCGCTGAATGTGGGGTACATGAAATATGTTATAGATTTACCCACTGAGTCTGGACAACCCACAATCAGTGGTTCTCTTCATTTTGTCCAATTGCCTAAGACTCTTATCTGGTGCAAAAAGGAATTCTTGACCTGGGTGCCAGCTGTTCTGATCCTTTCTGTTTAAACTTTTATGTTTCCATTCAACTTATTTAGTGTGGGGGAGAGGGAATGCTATGGTACAGGAGCAGAGGTCAGAAAGATTCTGATCTCTCTGTCCACAACATGGCTCTCAGGGATGGAGTGCAACTCATCAGGCTTGGGGCAAATGCTAAAGGATCCACCTGCGTTTTCAACGGATTGAGAGGGTGGAATAGTGGATTGAAACTCTCTGCGTAGATACCTTAATAAATTACCTATCTATCTAAAATATATCTCTGTATGACACTGAAAACATATCTAGCATGAATATTGTGTTTGATAATTATAGATCACTATTCCTCTCCATTTCTTAATTATACATTACATTTTTTTAGATATTTATTTATTATTTATTATGTATACAACAGTCTATTTGTGTGTATGCCAAAGGCCAGAAGAGGGCACCAGACCTTATTGCAGATGGTTGTGAGCCACCATGTGGCTGCTGGGAATTGAACTCAGGACCTTTGGGAGAGAAGGCAATGCTCTTAACCACTGAGCCATCTCTCCAGCCCCTACATTTTTACGTGAACTTCAAATACATAATATCTGAAACGAGAGTAGAAACATACAGTATAAAAAATTACGTTAAATTTGTATCAGTAAAGCAAAATCAGTGCCAAAGTCAAATAGTTAGGGTGCTGGTAATCTTTGAGGGATCATGAGAAAATTGGTATAATTAAGTCCTTTTTATTTTTTGATCTGTCAAGGCAGGGTTTCCCTGTAGCTTTGGAGCCAATCCTGGAACTAGCTCTTGCTTAGCGGCTTCCAGTCTTGGATGCCTAATGCCCTGGTCTGGATGCCAAAGTACACTTTCCCTTTGTCCGACTCTGCCTCGAAAATGTTTATAAATAGATTGGGTTTTATTTATTTATTTATTTATTTTTGGTTTTTCGAGACAGGGTTTCTCTGTGGTTTTGGAGCCTGTCCTGGAACTAGCTCTTGTAGACCAGGCTGGTCTCGAACTCACAGAGATCCTCCTGCCTCTGCCTCCCGAGTGTTGGATTAAAGGCGTGTGCCACCACCGCCCGGCTATAGATTGGGTTTTGAGGCTCACTCCTGTAACCCAGCACTCAGGAGAAAATGGCACAGGGGAAATGCATTAGTTGAGGCCCAGCTTCCCCTACACTGTGAGCTCTAGTACAACCTGGGCTACATGAAGGACCGATCGAAAACCGAATTCTACCTAGAGGGGAAAAAAAAAAGAAATATGGAGATGGCAGAAGAAGGGCAGATCTCAGTGTCTGTGAATTCACGAGTGGGGTCCTTACCTTTCACCATCCCCACAGTTTCTTCCCTTTCCTGTGTGAACATCTCATCCACACACACCCAAAATCCCAAATCTGGTTCAGAGGGTGAAGCCTCAAACATCCAATCAAATTAGAGGGGTGGGGCCGACTGCAAAGGGGAGGAGCTAGAGGGAAGGTGCTATAAAGCTTCAGAGGAGCCAGAGAAGACACCAAGGATTGGGATCCCAGAGTCACTGCCTGCCCTCTGAAAGAAGGAACGTGTTCTCCAGTTTCCACCTCTGGTAAGTCGGCCCCTTCCATCGGGGTACCACATCTATGCAGCCCAGCCACTCTCAACGTGAGACACAGATGGCACAGGGAGTTTGAATTTCTGTCTAGATGAGGAGACTGGAGACTGGTTTTGATTCCAAATACAGCTTTGCCTTGGTCTGAAATACAATTTTTATCCTTTTTTTTTTTTTTTTGGTTTTTCGAGACAGGGTTTCTCTGGTTTTTTTTTTTTAAATATGGAACGCTTTACGAATTTGTGTGTCATCCTTGCGCAGGGGCCATGCTAATCTTCTCTGTATCGTTCCAATTTTTTTATTTTTTTAGTATATGTGCTGCCGAAGCGAGCACTCTCTGGTTTTGGAGCCTGTCCTGGAACTAGCTCTTGTAGACCAGGTTTGTCTCGAACTCAGAGATCCACCTGCCTCTGCCTCCCAAGTGCTGGGATTAAAGGTGTGCGCCACCACTGCCCGGCTATTTATCCTTTTTAAATTTGTATTTTTAATTTTTGAGACAAGGTTTTGCAATGCTGCCTAAATTGTCCCGGAAGTGGCTGAGTAGCTCAGGGTAGGTAGGAACCCAGCCTCAGCTTCTGGTTGCTGACATTGCGGGCTGTTAATCAAACATCTGGTGATATTTCTACTGCTGTTGTTCAGTTCATTTAGTTTCTGGCTAGTTTGTCTCTGGTTAGTTTTACGTTTTGTTTCTTTTTGATTTTTCAAGACAGGGTTTCTCTAGGTAAGAGCTAGATATCCTGGAACTCACTAAGTAGACCAGGCAGGCCTTGAACTCAGAGAAATCTTCCTTTCTCTGTCTCCCAAGTACTGGGATTAAAGACGTGGTCCACCCTGCCTGGACAGTATCTTGTTTGAAAAAGTGAAACCAGCTGTCGGGTGTGGGTGTGGTGGCACACCTTTATTCCCAGTGCTAGGGAGGCGGAGGCAGGCAGATTTCTGAGTTTTAGGCCAGAATAGTCTACACAATGTGTTCCAGCTAAGCCGGGAATAGACAGAGTCTTTGTGTCAAACAACAACAATAATAAAAAGATGGACTTTTATAACCAAGGCTACAAAGTCCATACATATCTCAGATAACCTTGAATAGTGACCTCCTGTTCTGTTCTAGAACTCACAGAAAACTGCCTGACTCTGTTTCCTCAGTACCTGCCTCTCTCTGCTGTGTTTGTGCGCGTGCATGCGTGTGTGTGTGTGTGTGTGTGTGTGTGTGTGTGTTAGGTGTTCTACAGTATCACTTCCTGGATATTGATCGTGTTGGAATGAGTTAACATTTCCTGGTTGTCTTTCTTGGTATTTTTCCCAGCTTCTAACAGGATGGGCATCTGGCCCATACTTACACTGGAGGAGCTGTCATGCCAGGCTCTGCTGAGAAATGAGGCCTTGGCCATCTCTGCTCTGGGGAAGCTGCCCATCTCCCTCTTCCCAGAACTGTTTGAGGAGGCTTTCAGTAACCAATGCACTGGGATCGTGAAGGCAATGGTGGTAGCCTGGCCTTTCCCCTATCTCCGTGTGAAGGGCATGATGAACACGTTCGACTCAGAGATTTTTCATGCTGTGCTGGATGGCCTGGATGGCCTGCTGACTCAGCAGGTTTGCCCCACGTAAGTAGGGTCGAGTGAAAGATTCTGGGGTACATGGAAAGATGTCAGGGGTTGAGAGAATGGGGTCAGAGGTAGATAAAAGGTCTTTGTTAGCATCAGCTTGGAAGACCACAGAAGCCTTGACTGCTGTTGAGTTCTGATGGAGAAGTGCAGTTGGGTGTGGGGAGGAATAGAGAAGTGGGTGCAGTGGACAGAGCCTGTCCCTGTCTCCACAGGCACTAGTAGTACCGGGTCTAGAGAAACTGAATGGAGGGAAGTGAGACAGAGCTGTGGATGCAGCTCAGAAAGAGCCATTGCCTGGGACCATGAGGACTTTGTTGGACACTGAGTACTGGGGAAAAAAGCAAACACTTCCAAATCCAGACGGGAGCTGAATGTCTGTCCGGTCTTCTCTTGTCATAACACTTGACATATTCTACTCACAGGAGGGGGAAACTTCGAGTACTCGATTTTCAGAGGTGGCCATCAGAGTTCAGGACCATCCAGGCTGGAACAGAGGATGGGGTCTGCTCAGCAGAGACTGTGAGTGAGAAGCAAGCAGGGAAGCCCCCTCCCAGACCTGAGCTGAGACCACGAATCCAGGTGAGAATTGACCTCTACTTCAGGTCCCAAATGGAGGAAGCAGAAACGTACTTCCTACAGTGGGCCCAGCAGAGAAAAGACTCGCTCCAGCTCTGCTGTAAGGACGTGAAGATTGTGATGCAGTCCCTAGATAATGCTAGGACATTTCTGAGTGTTTTCGAGCTAGAATACATCAAGGTGTTGGAACTCACTGTAGATTGGAGCTGGTGCACTCTGGCACAATTTTCTACCTACCTCTCGGAGATGAGAAACCTTCACACAGTTTATCTAGTGCATATCCATTGGAACTTGTGTGAAGTTTGCTTTCTACCATGTTTCGATGAGATGAACTGTTTGCAAAAGTTCTTTTCTCAGTTTTCCGGACTCAGCGGTCTCCAGCATCTTTATCTGCAAGGCTTCTGTTTCTTCAGTGAGCACATGAAACTCTTGCTCAGGTAAGGATGGATGGAGAGCTGTTCCTGCTACCAGACCAACTTTATATTTTATGTCAAAGAGTAGTGGGCCTGGTATCTGCCGGGCCTTGCAGAATAGTGAAGGAGGCATTGGAACATCTAAGCATGGTCATGTTCCTGTGTCACTGAATCAAGGTCTCTCAAGACCACGCATGAAGCAGAGGCCTGATTTGGGGTAGGATATGTGTGCATAGTATGTCACAAGCAGTTGTGAGGGTCAGGTTCAGGGAGAATGTTGTACTTTCCCCCTTGGAATCCTGGCTTAGCTAATGGGAAGTGCACAGAGAAAGAAGGGAACCAAAAGAGTGGAGGAGCAGAATCCCCGCATCTTTCCCCAGGTGGTCTGTGCTCAGACTGTAGGCAGCCACCACCGGGCCTCTCATATCCCATGCAGGAAATGCTTTGAACAAGTAGGGACTGCACTGATGGGAAGTGGCTGACAGTGGGATTTGGGGTCAGTGTAAAGGGTGGAGACTGTGTATTCCCCAGGGGTGGTGAAAAAATTAGAGGGCAGTGAAACCACCTGAAATGCTCAGGTCTTTCATGGGTTGGTCCTTACCTTATGTGCCCTAGGGTATGTTACCCTGCATGGGATTCTGAGGGTCAGTGAGGAAAGGAGCTGCATAGCTGTGCCCTGACCCATCCCACAGTGCTGGTGACAGCTGTGGGTGTGACTTGAGTGAGCAGAACCCAACAGGCAGCACCATAGATGTTTCCTTCCATCAATGTGACATCGGGATACATGTCCCTTCTGTTGTGTAAAATCACTACACATGCTGTCCAGCATCATTTGTCAGAACTAACCATTGGTCTCTGCTAGGAACCTGAAGACTCCCTTGGAAACCTTCTCTGTCACGCAATGTCAACTGTTCCAGTCACACTTGAAAGACTTTGCGCTGTGTCCATTTCTTCATCAACTAAAACATCTGGACTTGAGTGGAGTCCTACTGTGCAATGTGTTTATTGTGCCTCTCCGTCTTCTCCTAGAGATGGGAGCAGGCAGTCTTGAGACTCTGGAATTGCAGGGGTGTAAGATAAAGGACTCTCAGTTCCGTGAACTCCTACCTGCCCTCAGCCAATGCTCCCAGCTCACCAAGGTCAATTTCTATAGTAATGACTTCTCCATGAATCTCTTGCGTGACCTTTTCCACCACACAGCCAACATGAGCAAGATGACCATGGAGCAGTACCCTGCCCCTCGGGAGTGCTATGATCGGAATTACATCATTGTACACACATTTTCTCAACTTTGTTCTCAGCTCGTGGATACACTTAGGGCCATAAGGCAGCCCAGGAGAATATGCTTTGCTACATATGGCTGCAGGAGATGTTTTCAACCCTTTGTGTATGACCAGGTGACCAGACTTTGTCCCTGCTTGCAGTAAATAGCGGGAAAGTTGCTTTTGGTCCTTGAATTCCCAGGGTGGCTACAGAAAGGTCTTTGTGCAGAGCAGTTAACTAAAGTGAGCAATTCAGACACACACACCTTCCATAGCAGAGGTTTGGGGATTTCTAGAGTTTTTTAATCCTGGATACCAGCGTAGGAGGCACTGTGTGCATGTCCAGTGGCAGTAGGGGGAGCAATGCAGACCAAATGGGAGGAGTTTTATTTAACCCATGGGAGGAACTTTTCTCTTTTCTGTCCCTTAAAAAAATATTGGTGTGTCACTTGGTGCTTTTAAACTCCTATGAGCTTACTTTACATTGTTTCAGTTATGTTTATATGGTGAGGAGGTACATGCAAGTGCCAGAGGCAGAGGAACCCTAAACTAGTTACTTGGTGTGGTTGCTAGGAGCCAAACTTGGTCTGCTGGAAGAGAAGCCAGGGCTCTACAGTGCTGACCCATCTCTCCAGCTCCTGGCCTTGACCTCTTAGTCCTCTTGTTCTGCCTCCACCTCCTAATTGTGAGATTACCATCTGGACCACCTTTGTCTAGGCTGAATGCTTCAGGGCACCTAAAAGCTAGGTGGCCAGTGGTTTTTAAGTGTGCAGGATGTGTTCCAAAGTTCCTCTACTGTCCTGAAGCTCTTACTACAACAGAGAACTGTGTTCTCACTATTCAGTTGTGATGTACATTTTTTTTATAATTTACTGAGTTCTTAATTATTGATCTATTTGTGGTGCTAATCAGATATACAAAATAATTTTGTATCACTTACATTTCATTTGTGTGTATTAAAATATTGATTCATTGCTTAATATTCGTCAATGTAGTTGCGTGACTTCCATAAAGCAATTAATTGTAAAGGCTTGTATAAAGTACACTCGGTAAGAAAAACATGAAAAAAAGGTGTTTCTGCCATGGGGTGGTGGCGCACACCTTTAATCCCAGCACTCAGGAGGCAGAGGCAGGCGGATCTCTGAGTTCGAGACCAGCCTGGTCTACAAGAGCTAGTTCCAGGACAGGCTCCAAAGCTACAGAGAAACCCTATCTCGAAAAACCAAAAAAAAAAAATGTTGCCATGACTGTTCAATTTAAGACATAATCTTAAAATCATGTTGGTGAAAAACATGGTTTTTACATAGTTGACATTCCTCATGCTTCCTCTACCCACTGACCCGCTTTGAGCTCCTCATCCATTTCTTTATGTAATTTACATAAAATGTAAGGTGGGTTAGACACCTCCCTCCCCCATTCGGGTTTGGTCCATTTTCATCACAGTGACAGAGCATCCCACTCCTACAGCACCTAGCATTCCCCAAGTTCGGTTTTTTGTTTTTTTTTAGAGACAGGGTTTCTCTGTAGCTTTGGTGCCTGTCCCGGAACTAGCTCTTGTAGACCAGGCTGGCCTGGAACTCCTAGAGATCCCTCTGCCTCCCAAGTTCTGGGGGATTAATGGCGTGCTCCACCACCGCCATGCCCCAAGTTCGAATTCTTTTTTTTTTTTTTTTTTTTTTTTTTTTTTGGTTTTTCGAGACAGGGTTTCTCTGTTTTTGGAGCCCAAGTTCGAATTCTTAAGACCACCTTAATCACAAGCATACTAGGAAGAAAGGTTGGGGCTCTACATTTGGGTGTGTACTTGTGCACTGGGTTTTTAAGCTGCCGGGGATCAAACTCAGTCTTTTGCATTGTAGGCAAATGTTCTCAGGTGAGCTGTCACCTGAGCCTAGACTGTCTGTCCTTAGCGGTAGTACGTGATGAAACCAGGACAACATAAAATATTTGAGGTTTGACAGGAAAAATTAAAAGTATTTGTGTTTAGACATTTAGAAATTAAAGGTGTAAAGCAGGGTGTGTTCGAACACCTTTATTCCCAGCCTTTGAGAGGCAAGGGCAGGACATCCAGGTCTGTGCAAGGTCACACACCCAGACTCAGAAGCTTAAGAAGGAGAATTGAGAGTTTGAAGTCAGCCTGAACTGTGTCGTGAGACTGTATTGGGAATATGATGATGATTCTTTTCATTTATTTTGAGACAGGTTTTCTCTGCAGCCCTGGCTGCCCTGGAACTCCCTCTGTAGGGCAGGTTGGCCTCAACCTCAGAGATCCTCTTGCCTCTGCCTCCCGAGGATTAAAGGACAACCAACACAGCTGTCCTAGAATGGCTATTTTTGGTTGTCAACACCTGACTGCATCTGGAATTAAGTAAAACCCAAGTAGCTGGGTACACCTGTGAGGGATTGGTATTCATGAACTCATCTGAACTGGAAAGAAGTGGAAAGACATGATCATATCTCTTTGCTCTGCATAATTTCCAAGTGAAAGCAATACCAGGTCATATTTATGCCTAACATGGTATAAGGATCTCATGTGCAAACACATTATATATTTAACCACGTTAGAATTAGAGCTAACATGATATAACTACCCCTCCTACAGCCACAAATGCATTTTAAATAAAACAAAACCGAAAACAAAATATGAGTGATATGTCCAACCCAGCAGCTGTTGCGATGAAGAGAAGCTGGTGGGCCACCTGGTGGAAGAATCCAGAAAAAAATAAAACAGAATCACCAAAGGACCAAACAGTAGCATGCAGGGGCTGCCACCTCACGGCAGAATTGAACCCAGGGGCAACTCACGTTCTGTGGGTCAAGGCAAAACAAAAACACCAGCCACAAAATCAGGAATCAAATAAACAACTACAACTCCCTGGACCAAACTTGCCTGCCATGCATTTAATCACTCATACAGTTGGGCAGCCATTCATTCAAGCAAAATCCAAACAGATCCCCCATGAGAGGCATGACCAGAGTGCAGGGGTCCCTACTACTGGTGTCCTAATGTACTGCAGGAAGACAGGAAGGCTTTCTTGGTGGAAATTTCATCTCGAACCAAGAAGAGGGCTCCCGAAAGGACCAGGAAGAAGGCAGAAATGAGTTGCTGTCCAGCCTGGACTACACAGTGAGTTCCAGGTGACCGGCTGTGCTAGTTTGAATGACCCCATAAACTCATAAAGAGAGGCTCTGTTATCCAGCATGGCTTTGTTTGGATAAGAAGAGCCTCGTGGGAGGAAGTATGTCACAGTGGGGAAAGCTTTGAGGTCCACGCTGAAGCTTCACTCAGTGTGACCCTCAGACTCTTTCCCACTGCTTGCAAGATAGAGGACTCTCAGCTACTTATCCAACACTAAGTCTGCCTCAAGCCACCACGTCCCCTGCCAGGTGATAATGGACTGAACCTCTGAAGCTATAAGCAAGCCACCTTAAATAAATGTTTTTATTTATAAGAGTTAATCTTGTCACAGTGTCTCTTAAGAGGAACAGAAATCTTTTTTTTTTCTTTTTTTTTCTTTTTTTTTTTCTTTTTTGTTTTTTTTCCGAGATAGGGTTTCTCTGTGGCTTTGGAGCCTGTCCTGGAACTAGCTCTGTAGACCAGGCTGATCTTGAATTCACAGAGATCCGCCTGCCTCTGACTCCCGAGTGCTGGGATGAAAGGCGTGTGCCACCACCGCCCGGCCAGGAACAGAAATCTTAAGTCTCCTGTTGCGCCCAAGCCTGCAGGCATTGAAAGTTCAAGGTCATTGGGTGGTGGCACACACTTTAATTCCAGAGCTTGGGAAGCAGAGGTATCTCTGGGAATTCAAGGCCAGCCTTTCAACAGATAAAATTCAAAAAACAGCTCAACTGTTGGGTGGTGGTGGGGATTTCCTGGTTATCCACAGGTCCTGAGATTCTACAAAGCAACCCTAAGATGTTAGGACTTGGTTTGTAGAAGCAATAAAAAGGGTGAATACCTTGGAAATGACAGCATCAAACTGGCCTTTTGTGTTTACATATGTAAGAGACAGAAGCAGGAGTATCCCTGTTAGAATATGTCCAGCCCGGTCTGAAAACTGGAACTGGATAGATAGATAGATAGATAGATAGATAGATAGATAGATAGATAGATCGACTATGCCTCCCAAGGTGCCACACTTGCACAGCAAGTGAAAGATAATTGCATTCAATCTTACTGAGTGAACTTTTCTTGAGGGACAGGAGCAGAATTCCTCCCAATCCAGATAGAGCAACAATAAAACATCAAAGCAATGAATCCAACCCATTGTGGTTGCTGAATCCCTGAGTAAACCAGGCTTGGGCTTGTACATAGTCAAGTTACAGAAAGTCTCAGCTCAACAGAATAACTTTTGTGTCTTACTTAAATTTCTTCTGATGTGACTACGGCCATGACTATGCAGGCCCAAAAATATGAGCCTATTTTCAGGTTGACCAGAGGTCAAAAAGACCTCTACTCCTTCAAGGTTATTGTGTTTCTACCTCTAACAAAGGTCCCACCTAGATTTAGACCAGAGTGTTCTGCTCTCTCAGGGCTATTGGCAACAGGTGCGGCTAATAGCCAGACCTTGTACTTCAGGTACAGAGAAGTAGATGTGTCTCTATTCTAAACAAAAGTCTAAGGACCCAACTAAGTTCCAGTTCCCTTAAGGAGATAACATTGGATTCCACCCAGGGAGTGGTTTGCCTACAAAATCTTTTGGTCTAGGGTGTGAGCTTGACATGTTTTGTTCTAGCAACAGAATGTTTAACTTATGGATGTGGGCCACAACCTTCAACTGGTCTGTTCATTTCTTGGTATCATGTTAATGCAGTTTTTTTTTTTTATATGACTCCTACCTTTTGGGGTAAAGGGTTTTTAAACAACTGGAAATTAAACGTGGGTGATTTCAGTAGTCACAGGAACTCCCTCCCAATACTACTCTATATGTCTTCATTCTATTCTTTTTACATCTTCATACTCTTTTTTTTTTTTTTTTTTTTTTTTTTTGGTTTTTCGAGACAGGGTTTTTCTGTGGCTTTGGAGCCTGTCCTGGAACTAGCTCTGTAGACCAGGCTGGTCTCGAACTCACAGAGATCCACCTGCCTCTGCCTGTCTAGTGCTGGGATTAAAGGCGTGCACCACCATCGCCCGGCTGTTGTGTTTCTATTCCAAACAAAAGTCTAAG